CCATTCCACATGGGAGCAACAGCACTCACATCACATCACCACCTTTGCGTATATATCTATAGCTGTCTACAATAAGGGATTGCCATGGAAACATACTCAAATCCAGAAAATTATAATTCCAATTCATCTCTCCAAAGAGAAAAATGGTGTGGGCACCAATTCCTTTACAAATTCCATGGCTTTTGGTTCACACAAACATACCTTGAAACCACCCAAAGAGTTGTTGAAACCTTCAAACCTCTCCCAAATGATGTAATTTTATGCTCTTTCCCCAAAACAGGCACCACATGGCTCAAAGCCCTTCTCTACTCCATCACTCACCGATCTGATGAAAACAACAACAACCTTTTGAGCTCCAAACATCCACAAGAACTAATCCCGTCACTGGAAACAAATCTTTACGTTCGACATGGCGAGAAGAATGAGAAGAGCCCTGAATCTCTTCTTACCCTTAATGAAGATCCTATGAAGATTAGAGTCCTGGGAACCCACATACCGTATCAAATCTTGGGTGACGTACTGAATTCGAGCGAGTGCAAGATCGTTTACGTGACAAGAAATCCAAAGGACACCCTCGTTTCTCTTTGGCATTTCGTGTGTAAATCTGAGAAAGTTGAGGAGGATCTGTGGGAGTTAGAAGCTGCTGTTGATCAGTTCTGTAATGGGATTGTTGTGTTTGGATCGTTCTACGATCACGTCTTGGGTTATAGAGAAGAAAGTGTTAAGAGGCCTGACAAGGTGTTTTTGGTGACTTACGAGGAAATGCAGGAAAATCCCAAGAAATGTGTGAAGGAGCTTGGTGAGTTCTTGGCTTGCCCATTTGATGAAGGAGAGAATGGAGAGATGGAGATTAGCGAAATCGTAAGGAATTGCAGCTTTGAGAAGTTGAGCAACCAGGGTGTGAACAAGTCGAGCGAGCTGCCAGACGGGTTTCCGTTGCCGTACAGTTCGTTCTTTAGGAAAGGACAGGTTGGAGATTACAAAAATTATCTTAATGATGAAATGATAAATAAAATAGATAGTATTACTAAGGAAAAATTTCACAGGAGTGGCTTTTGGTATGGAATTTAGTTATGGTATCTATGTATTGTATTGTGTTTCTCCCTACTCTACTGTCTATAGCTTTGGTTTCAGGTTTGCGTTTACGAACATATTGGTATAATTTAGGAGGGAGGGATAAGGCTATGTTAGGAAGCTGCTATTGCTACAATATTTGCTATAGTGGTAGATTGACTCCAGCTCAGATGTACGAGCATCAAACTCTTCAATCTTCTTCCAGTTAATGAATTTTCAGCATCCTTTCTCTCAGCACATAGTTTATCCAAGT